GAAAGTGAAAATACTTTGTCTTTTTTATCCAAAAAAAACAATAAGATTGTATAAACAATTACGATGTATATTCGTATATATATACAAATATATACGTGCATTGCATTTTTTTTTTTTATTATAAACTCTCCCTCTCTCTTTGTCTCTCTCTTTTTTTGTATTTTTTTTCTTCTTTTGCTAGTTCGAAACGAGAAAAATGTCTTTCAAACAACGATACACGTTCGTAGAATTATAATAAGCTTGAGATTTATTGGTATCGTTTATAAGCCTAATCTAAATTTCAATTTATCGCGCAATACGCGCGTATTATCGTCTTACACTACTCTAGGAATTCGGAATAAATTAATTTACGATTATAACGAATCCAAAATAAGAAACTGAGCGAATGTGATCGCGAGGTAGGCGTATATGTGTATATGTAATTATATATGTGTTTTTTTTCTATATAACAAAAATGCATTTATTATAGATAAATACATCAATAAATATCGTCTAGTCGATCTAACTGACGTAAGTTCGACTTTATGACGATATCGATTACGGTGCCCTACGTGCATATAAACGTATATATATATATATATATATATATACATTTTTACCTGTAACGAAAAGGAAAAGATACAAGGAAACTTTTAGACCTCATCGTTGTCATTGTTCGAAGAACAAAATCTCGCGTTTTCCTTAAAAATCAATCGGCTTCTTTACCATCTAATCGATGATAAGGCAGGCAAAATTTACAGGAAACTAAAAACAAATTATTGAAATGAAAATACTTTAAATATAAATATATATATATATATATGAATAAAATGAAAGCCACGGCCAATTAGTATTGAATTAATTTTCGTTTAATAGAAATAACGAAATGTCAATAAAATTCCACGAATGGAAGAATTTCAATGATATATTTGACAGTTTATTGAATATATTACGAATTCGGGATTCTTAATCTTTTTTTAGTTTTACGGACTTCTATAACATTAAGGTAAAGATCACGGACTTCCTTCTTTCGATTTTAAATACGACAAATTAATACATTTATTGGAAGCTAAGTAAATTATTAGAAACATAGACAAAGAGTATCTCTCGTTAATATCATTAAATAGAGGAAAATGCAATCGTCGATTAATAAAATTGCAGCCTTCATTAAATTTCCGAAATTAGTGAATTATAAAAATGTGCAACAAAGCGTTTGAATTGGTCTTACGGATCAATTTAAGAAAATTTATCCATTATTGCACATACCAACTATATAATTTATTTTTGAAGGAAAAACATTGTTTCTGACTTTAGATTATAATTAACATGACAGTTTAAAACGTTTCAAAATTTATTTTATTCGATAAGACGATTTCGCTCATATAAAATGGAATATCCAAACGGAAATGCACGCGGACGTGGACGCGGATGTGTGTAATACTCGGATATGAAGCAATAACCAATATTTGTCCGATAAATTACATAAGAAATGATTTAATTTGACATTAAAAATACTATTAGCCAATTAAATTGTAATAAACGCGAGAGAAAGATAGATTATTATTAAACACGCGCGCGATAAATTTTCCTAAATAATGTTTCGAAAAACTATTAGGAGGAAAAAAAAAAAAGTAAAGTAATATAAAAGGAAGATACAAATTTGATAATATTGTCATCGCGGAAATGAATCAAACGAATTGTTGAAAAGAAAAAAGAAAGGGGGAAAAAAAGAAAAAGTAATTTCACGCAAGAGTTACGTCAGTAAGATATTTTGACCATAAACTTCCTCCCATTGACGAGGTTGAAAGGCAATGCAACGACAGTTTGGAATAATACAGTGATAGTAAAGTACATTGAGTGATATCGTGTAGAATAAATCGGTTTGATAGTAACGTTTAATATATATTTTTCAACAGTTTAAAAGCTTGATAAAGTGGACGTCACTCATCGTAAAAAGCGGTACGAAAGAACTGTCCATCTTCATCGGAAGATAGAAAAAAAAAGGAGAGAGAGAGAGAGAAGAGTAAACGAAAAGAGGACGTAAAAAAAAAAAAAACTTAGATGAAATAATTCGTGTTTCGTAGTGGCTGTTCGATCTCAATCATGTTTGGAGAATCGGACTGTTCGTAGAGAGAAAAAGCTTTCATCGATATCTCGAAGAATAGTGAACGTGATTCGGTAATAAAAGTGAATGAGATTTATACTTACCTCTATCTAGTGAAAAAAGATAGTGAGAGGAGGAAAAAGAGAGACAGAGAGAGAGAGAGAGAGAGAGAGGCAGAAAAGACTTATTATTTGGTCTTGTGAGATAATACGAACTCCAATTTCGAACCCTTCGTAAGAAATCGTAACGAATGTGATTTCTAATCGAGGTGAAAGAAAAAAAGGGTCATTTGATTTTCTTCTATCTTATTTCCTTTTTTTTTTTCTCGTAAAGGAGCGAATCTCAAAAGCGAATAAATTTTTTAAACGAGATCGATGCACGTACGAGGTAAATATTAAATTTTGTTTAAATATTTTATCTATATATTCCATATTATATTTATTATATTTATTATAACATTTAATAGAATGTGTACGTAATATAAATAATCGAATAGAATGATATTGTCAATATTTGAATTATTTCATATAATATTTTATTATTAATATATATATATAAATTTTTACTTATTATATAGCCTATTGTATTTACTGATAAAGTAAATAGTCCATGAGTCATTAAAACGACAAACGATAAAATGTCAATAGTCAAAAGAATTATAATAACGGCATTTGCTTTGTTATCATTTGCCTTAGTGAATTCAATTAGCAAAGAATGTAAGATCAATAATAAAAGTGTAACGTGTCATTGTAACGGAAATCAGGTTGGTGTTAAGCATTGTTCTCTCACCTCTTATCTCTCCTATTAGTTAATAATAATTTATTTATCTTTCCTTTTTAGGAATTTTTTCTACTACAAGAATACAATTACAAGAACGTGACCAGTCTAAGCTTATCCTCGTGCTCGACAGCAAATCTTGATACCAGTTTTACAGAATCTGATAAAATCAAGGAACTCGTGGTTAAAAACATCAGCGAACTTCTTAAATTAAATGTGTTTCTTTATACGGATCAATTGAAACGATTCGAATTGACGAATATTAAGAAAATACCCTACGTCAAACACGACATATTTTTGAATATAAAAAGCATTGAACATTTCGAAATGCAAAACGTTCACGTAGATTATTTCGAGGAACAATTCATAAGTATTAAAGTAAATCACTTTGTTATGGCAAACGTTACGATATCGAATATGGAAGGATTCAATTTTTCGGAAAAGGGTGAAACGTTACAAATAAGCGACTGCGAGTTTCGAAATGTCTCGACGTTATTATTAAACTTTGGACATTTCTCTAAAGTGGAGATCGTTAATTCGAAATTTGAGTTGCAGAAACCAGGACAGCTGTTGATTGAAAGCAATGAGGCAATCGTTCGTGATAATATTTTTTTTAACGTTAGCATGAATTTAGTTGCAGCTAACAACGTAACGATAAATAACATCTGTGCCGATGGTAAAAGTTCTCTCAGACTTTCCTCGAATAAGATCGAAAGTTTTGATAACAAGTTACCGACCGCTATCATTTACACGAAAGGCCAAACGTCGTACTACGTTTCAGAAAACAACAATACCATTTGCATAGCAGGTAATTGCAAGTGTCCGAAAAGCAACGGACAGAATGCAAACCGACCGATTATGGTCGTATTTTTCTTTGAGATAATCTTACTTTTGATAACATGTCCGATAATTCGATCATAACTCATTACATTTGTACATCTATATTCGCTAAATGACGAATGTAATTTAAAATCTAAATAGCTTGGTTTATTCGAAATATACAAAATTTTAAATATCTAATAAATATCAGTATTACTATGGCTAAGATTATACTGCTAAACATTGCTATTAGGAACTATTTTACTAAGTACAATTAATTATAAATTATGCGCAAAATGCACTTTAGGCGGGAAATTAAATATTCTCCATGATAAACTGTGCAATTTAACAAGCTATAAAATGATCAATTTGTTTTTTTTTATATTACTGTATTAGATCCAGTTCTCACCTTTTGTAGAAAGTATTGTCAGTAATCTATGTGCAGTTTATTTATGCATTAGAGTCGTTCCAAACTCCTGACGCTTCCATTTGCAACTCGACAGCAGTAGAATGAAGCGACAAAGCATCTTTTAGATCATTTATTTCTTGCAACATCAGTCTGTTATTTTCTTCCAAACGACATATCGTTTGTTTATACAATGTTATTTCTTTCTCATGTTCGGTTTGTACCTTTTGTATTACCTTGTCTTTAGGCACATACGTACCTGCATGAAAATATAAAGAGACTATTAAAAAGTAAATTGATGACGAACTGTAGAATCTTAGAGTCAATTTTCAGATTATACAAACCGGCAGATTTCTCTAATTGTTCTCGTAGTTTATTTCCATTCTGTATGATCCTCCTTAGTTCGTGTTCATGTTGACTGTTCTTCGACAGAGATTGCTTCTTCAATTTAGTAACCTACAATATAAGATTAAGTTATTAGATTCAAAACTTTGGATGGTGAGAATATATCAAATATAATTTAAAATTCGTTACCTCAGTTTTCTCTTGTTTCAAATCACGCGAAATAGCATCGTTTTGTACTTTGAGTCTTCTTTCCCTTTCCTGTGTTTGAGCCAATATCATTTGTCCCTTCTGCAATTCTTCTTTCAGTCGCTTAACATGGTTCTATTAAAATAAGTCTATTAATTGCTGTGATCAGTCATCATAAGATCATAGACATTGATTAAATAACTTACTATTCAATGTATATCCTTTACGCAGCATGTAATTATGCACAGAATATAAACATAAATTCTTATAATTTGTAAAACTCATATTCTTACCTTCAAATTACTATTATCATTTGAGATCTTAGCATAAGTATCATTCAGCTCATCGTAAGATTTCATCAACATCCTGTGTTTGTGTAGCAACATCCATAACGCATTGATTAATTTTATAGAAGTTTTCTTCAATGATTCAACGGAATCAATTCTATCATTGTATATATTGACCGGTAAGATATTAAAAGATTCTAATTCCTACAAATAGAAATGAATGAATGAAAGAAAATCAAATAATTAAATTAATTATCTATTAGAAATATTTATATATTAATCTTACCTCATTCAAGATCAATAAAGATTCATCTAGATTCTTCTCATTGCAAAAACTTTTCTCTCGGCTTTCCAAGTTACATCTCATCATTAGAGCGGTCTTAAAATTTCTAGCGGATGAAAAATCTTTAAATTCTGTTGCCATACCGTACAGTTCTTATTCGATGTACCTAAATACAAATTGAAGTCAGATTAATAATTTAACAAGATTTAAATATGATTAATAAAGATATTGTCAAATTAATTCAAAACCTACCTTTTACATATACTTGTGATATTAATTCTTATGTTACAATTAACAAATATAAAAATTATAAAATCGCTTATAATTATCGACACTATTTATGAAATAAATAAATATTCTAATGAAACAATGTCCGGACACGTATCATAACTATATACACACACATAACCGAAAAGATGTGACGAAAATAAATACGACCGTGCCTAATGCATGTTTAAACCATTCTACCTTCTTTTAAAGTAGTTCCAAGATATACCGCATGATGGCGCTAGTTGTTCGTTTCGCATAACTTTCTTCATTAGTTTTGCAACAATGGCGACACTCGCGCTTTTTAAACACACAACTCGTAAGGATCCAATTTGTTTTATATTATATTAGTGTTAAAAAGTGTAATTGATTTTGTTAACCTGTTTTATACTTGAATGCACGAACGTTTTTATTATTAAATAAATTAATTGAAAGGTAAATAAATATTAACGATTATAAAAGTATTTTGTTATATGTAATATATATATATATATATCAAATTATACAATCTGATAAATTCTAACATTTTATTGTTTTTTTTTTAGGATTCGAAGATTAATCGTAGCTCCAGTATCTTTATCAAGTATTTAAATCATCAGAGCTGATATAACTTGAGATAAGGACATTGAATTAAAGTAAGTAAAAAAGTAATGAAATTCTATGACATTCGTATATAACTGATATTTGATTCACTTTACAGTGAACAGTAGAATACAGAAATAGTAAAGATAAGATAGGTAAAGAAAAAGCTTGGTGAAAGAGCTTTTTTCCCCTTGACTGGGATAGGAACACTAATCCGTCGTACGTGATCTTTAAAAGCATCGTGGATTAGTCAGATAAATCTCCGAGTTAGCGTGCTCTGGACACGAGATCTTTCCTATAAAAACCTTTTCTAGATATGACGTCCTTTTCTTTTTCTTTCTCTTTCTCTCTCTTACACACACACTCTCTTTCTCTGTCTTTTTATCATTTTTTAACCCTTTTCATATTCTTTCAAAGTATACTCAATTTGAAATGCATTAATCATCAAAGCAAACAAGGGGGGAAAAAAAAAAGAATAATATTCCATTACTTATTCGTATAAGATTTATAATTAATTCTAGGTCAGAGAATTATTTTACTGTAATACAATATCCATGTTATATTTTATATTTTCAAAATATACAATGAAGACCACGAGGAGTAAAATTAATCCTCTAACAATAGCGAGTTGTATTATTCTATAAGTAATAGGATCAGTAACAATGCATGCAATATATAAGTGTATATATAGTTATAAATTTATTAAATTTTGTATTTTTTATTAACATGAATATTTTTTAATCAAGTGCCCAAATACACGAGACGTGTTCCCCCCGTGCATGATCCGAATAATTTTTTTCTTATATCTCCAAATAAAACCAATTACTTATTCCAGAACTAAGGTTATTTATATAATTGCTTTTAAATATAATATAAAATAAATTAATATATATATAATAAGATATATATATATATATATATATAAGAAATGTCTTTTTCAATTTAATTTATCTCTCGAGTAACAAATTGTAACATCATTCACGAAAACGAGTATAGTGTATTCTATATATTCTGTTAGGTAACCATTGTCATCTCAATTTACCAAGAGAAGGGGAGAGATAGAGAGAGAAAGAGAGAAAGAGGGAAGGAAGAAGAATACCCAAGGTAACAAGAGTAGCTCAATATTTGACACACGTCAAACGGTTAAGAGAACCCTGAAACTTCTTTGGTAGGTGGTACATAAGTAATACATACAGAGAGACACGCATACATCGATTACGCAACAAGACACATGTCACGTCACACGTGTATCAAAAAGCAGACAGAATTCTTCGCTTAACTGAACGAGTTTTTTTTTCCAATCCTTTTTTTTTTTTTTTT